TATTTCTGCAAAGGGGCTGGGAGAGGGTCACCATTGCAGTTCTTATAACTGGCAGTGTTTACATCTTAATCCCTTCACCTTTTCCACCCAGCCTCCCAATCCCTCTCCCATCTGGTAACCATCAGTCTATTCTCTGTATCTATGAGTTTGTTTCTGGGGGGGGGTTGTGTGTGTTTTTTAAATATGTTTTTATTGATTTTGATAGAGGGAGAGGGATAGAGAAATAGAAACATTGATGAGAGAGGAACATCATTGATCAGCTGCCTTCTGCAGGCACCCCTACTGGGGATGGAGCCCACAACCTGGCATGTGCCCTGGCCAGGAATTGAACCTGTGACCTCTTGGTTCCTGGGTTAATGCTCAACCGCTGAGCACACCAGCGGTTGTTTTTTTAGATTCCACATATAAGTGTAATCATATAGTATTTGTCTTTCTCTGCCTGATTTATTTCAATTAGCACAATACCTTATAGGTCCATGTTGTCACAAATGGCAAGATTTCATTTAAAGATGACTTTTTAAAACTAATCCTATATAATAAAAGGCTAATATGCAAATACTAGTAGACCAAACAGTGGAACAACCAGTTGCTATGGCATGTGCTGACCACCAGGGGACGCACGCAGAACATGGCGGGTATCAGCAGCAGGCAGCAGAGCACGGAACGTGGTGGGCATGTGGAGCTGGAGAACAGGAGTGCCAGACCAAGGCGGGGCATTGGTTGCTGTCATCAGGGCAAGCCTCTGGTGATTACTGAAAATTCTTTGCTCCTGGGCGCCTCAGTCCCACCTGGCGCTCGTACTTGCTGCTGGTGCCCAGTGCTGGCCCTGATCTTTCGGCACCATCAGTGAGTGCGAGCAGCAGCTGCCAGCCCCTATCGCCCCTCAGGGTTTCTCTACCTCCCCCTGCTCCTGAGGGGTGATCAGGGACAGCAACAGCCGCCGCTCGCACCCACTGCTGGCATCAGCCCCAATCGCTCTGTGCCGTCAACAGGGCGGTGGGGGTGGGGCTGCCAGCAGACAGGGGACCCGGGGCCACAACAGGAGTGGCCAGGCGGGGGCGTGGAGTATGGGCTGAGACCTGCCCCTGTGCCCACCTCAGCCTCACGGCCCACAGTTCCTTTCAAGGTGCACAAATTCGTGCACTGGGCCCCTAGTAATAATATACAGTAAAGACTTCCAACTTCATTCCCCCTTCTATCTCCAAGCTTATCTATTCCTCATTCCTCCGCCGACCTTGCCCTAACAATCACCTTTCATTTCGTTCATTCCTTCTCCTAGGCTGCCCAAGACTCTGGGCTCTCCGAGTACAATGTTGGACAGACTCAGATCCAGCCCCAGAACACTCCCTAATACACAATAGGTTCTCAAGAAAAGCTTTTAGAATGAGTAAAAATGGGCTTAAGTCCACACTGGCAGAATAAACAGTTGACCCTTCCAGTTAATCTTTGAAATTTTCTGGTTGACAAGCTCCAAACTGAGTGACAGGGCAACATGCCAAGGCCAAGGTTCTTTCCCAGATGAACCCCGACTACTTCCCCAGTCTCATCTCCCTCCTCCCTCCCACCCAAAGCTACGCCGCTTCCCTGAACAAGGCGGGTTCTCTCAGGCCTTTGCCACTTGTCCTTTAAGGCTCTGCCCCAAGGTCACCTCCTCCAAGAAGGCACCCTGGAATCCAGACAGAGTCCCTTTGTCAGTGTCTCCGCTGCAGGGTTCAGTTGAATATTGCACCCACCAATTCAAGAAGTATTGTACTCTGCAAAGCCAAGTACTGTACTCTGCAGAACCCATGGTAACTCAGCTGACAATGCCCCTCAAGGCCACCAGGGGCGCTTTCAAAACACCGCCAGATTTGGTGGCATAAAACCCTGACACTGGCTGCCAGTTGCTCTAAGGATTAACAGTTAAGATGCCTTTTGGGTTCAGAGTCTGAGTCCTCCATTCCGAACTCGGAGCTAGTGACAGCACCTCTCCAAACCTCTATTTCTACAGATATGGTCGTCAGGTGGATCAGGTAGACTGTGTCCTATAAAGTGCTTGGAACAGTGTCGCTTTTAAGACGTCCTCAGATTATATTAGGGGCAGCAGCATGCAGGGCCTCAGCAGCAAGCAGACAGAAAATTCAAGCTGAGTGACAGGGGAGAGTTTAATAAAGAGACTCTTGACAGGGTGGAGGCAGGGAGGTGGTGCAGCCCCCAGGGCTGGAAAGATGGGAGCTTCTGCTATCCTCAGGCCTGCATGGCAGCCGTTACCCAGGTGTGCGGAAAGGACCTCCTGATTGGAAGTGTGATCTTGGGTGGAAGGACAACCCCTCATCAGGAAGGGAGCTAGGGAATAAAGACCCCTCCCTCACCCTGACCGGTTTGGCTCAGTGGATAGAGCGTCGGCCTGCGGACTGAAGGGTCCCAGGTTTGATTCTGGTCAAGGGCATGTACCTTGGTTGTGGGCACATCCCCAGTCAGGGGTGTGCAGGAGGCAGCTGATCGATGTTTCTCTCTCATCGATGTTTCTAACTCTTTATCCCTCTCCCTTCCTTTCTGTAAAAAATCAATAAAATAAAATAATTTTTTAAAAAGACCCCTCCCGAGCGGCGCGAACAATTGGGAGGGAGTCGCAGACTCTGAGCTCCAGACCCGGGCGAGTCGCTAGGGACGCAGACGGGAGAAGCAGGACTGTCTGGCCTCGGTCGAAACTCGAGGGCAGCGTTCTCTCCGAGGTTTGCAGCGGTTGCCGAGACTTTGTGAGGCAGAGTCCCTTGGGACGGAACTGAGAGTCGCACAATCGGGAAGAAGT